GCGGGACGTTGGAGAAAATTGGAGAGTCATTGGAGGAGACCCAATTTACAGCAACGATGGTGGACGGTACAAAGCTTCCCATCCACGGCGAGACAACATTGCAGCTGTAGATAGAAGCGTTAAGGTGGAAGCCGACGTTGCCGATCACGAACATCAAGGGATTAGATTTCATCTTGGGGCGTGATTTTCTGAATCGGTTCAACCCCGAGATCGACTGGGTCAACCGGAAAATGTGCATCTACAACAACGGGAAACGAGTGGAGCTGCGAAGCTGGACGGATATAGGGAGTGTTCCTGAGAACGTGAAGGAGTTGCAGTAGTTTCTAGGCTTCGCCAACTACTACAACATGTTCGTGCCGCAATACGCTAAGATAGCAGCGCCACTGACCGACCTACTGAAAAAGGATACGCCCTACAAATGGGATACTCCTCAACAGCAAGCCATGGAGCAGCTACAGACAGCACTGACTACAGCGCCAGTACTCATCCTACCGGATCCAGACAGAGACTACGTGGTGGAAGCAGGCGCTAGTGACGAAGCAGTCGGAGCAGTACTGATGCAGCATCACGGACGCAGTTTGCAGCCCATCGCCTACCTCAATAAGAAGCTGTTACATTGGGAGAATGACTTAGCTGTAAGAAAGGGATCAGGAAAGATTTGGGTACCGAACTATGCCCCGCTCCGACAGATTCTGCTGGAGGAGTTTCACGACGTACAGTACGCGTGACATTTCGGGAGCAACAAGACGTTAGCAGGGATAGCGAAGTATTACTACTGGCCCCGGATGGCAGCAGACGTGCAGCAGTTCGTCACCTCTTGCGACACCTGCTCGCGGATGAAGAGTAGAAAGCAGAAAAAAGCAGGGTTACTTCAGCCTCTACCCGTACCGGAGCAGCCATGGCAAGTTGTCAGCCTAGACTTCATCACTGGGCTACCTTCGACCTCACGAGGGCATGACGCTATACTCGTGGTGATCGACAAGTTCTCTAAAATGGGACACTTCATCCCGACCAACGCCACGGCTACAGCTGAAGCAACTGCTCGCCTCTTCTTCGACCGCATCATCACCATCCACGGCATCCGCGCTACACTCATCTCAGACAGAGACCCAAAACTCACCAGTAAGTTCTGGAGGGAACTCATGGGTTTGTTGGGGACAAATCTTGCGATGTCTTCAGCGTACCACCCCCAGACTGACGAACAAACAGAGCGACTCAATCAGGTGGTTGAACAGTTACCGCGCACAGCTTGCAAAGACGACGTCAGCCACTGGGATTCACAGTTACCGATACCTGAGTTCGCTTACAACAACACGTCACATGCGGCCACAGGAAAATCTCCTTTCTTCCTGTGCTATGGACGGGAACCACTTACACCACAGCAGCCAACCACACCGGCACACGTCCAAGCCACACATGACTTCGTCACCACCATGCAGCAGCTATGGGAGAAGACTCAGCGACGACTCACCACGATGCAGAACTCCCAGAAGCAGTATGCCGATCGCCAGCGACGTGATCACTCAGTAGCAGTCGGAGATCAGGTGCTTCTTGACACGCGCAACTTGAACCTGTCTCACCTACCGTACAAGCCCCGGCCTCGCTTCTGTGGTCCTTTTTGCGTTAAGGCACAGGTGACATCAGTAACATTCCGCTTGCGCTTACCTACTACGTGGAAGCTTCATAACGCTTTCCATGTTCAGCTATTGAAGCCCTACAAGGACCCCAACCAACAGTTCCAGAAGAGACAGTTACCGCCAGCACCACCTGTTTTCGTACAGGATGAACCAGAGTACGAGGTGGAACGAGTGCTCGCTCATCGACGCAGACGTGGCAACATGCTCGCGTTCCTGATACGCTGGAAGGGAAATGACCCATCAGAGGATAGTTGGGTTGCAGAAGCTGATATGGGCAACGCACGCTATGCTCTCAAGGACTATCTTGTCAAGCAGGGTGTTTCTCATGCCACCCAGCTTTGAGGGGGGGACGTCTGAGAGTACGACAGCTTATGCTGGCTTTGCTAGCTTGCCTAGACTTTATTATGCTATTACTAGCTTAGGTTTTATTTATCATGCATAGATATGCTTGATTTCCTAGATTAGGTGCATTCCTATATGTTATTATAGTTATAGCACCGAACCAAGTTACGTGTACCGAACTCAAGCCTATTCGGTTTCCACCGAATTGCTTTCTACTGAGTTCGGGAAGGTTCTGTTCGGGACGCTTCGCGACCCTCAGAACATTCGCGTAACACCTGGGTTACCTGCCTTGTGTCGAGCCTATATATAGCCTCGCCTTGTACCCAGGTGAATCATTCAATATATTTATCTTTCCTGAACCAGATCCTCACAGGGCCCTTTGACTTTTTCGCGTAAGTCAAGGGCGCGAAAGTCAGGACCGACGCGTGGGGTCCTGACACACGCGCGTGTGGCACCACAAGACCCGCGCGTGTGTCGCCACTATTTTGATCGTGCACAGTGAGCACGATCGATACAGGACGGAGCGACATGATCGCTCCGTCAAGTACATGACAGAGCACGATCGCGTCAGCGATCGTCTTGTCCTGCACGACCGAGAAATATCTCGGTCGTGATGAGGGGCACGTGGGGCACGCGAGACTTCGCAGTTGACTAACGGAATTTTCGCGCTGACTCGGCGAGAAGGAAAATTCACAAGAAAGTCGCGCTGCTTTGCGTCATTATTTTGACAGAGGTACAAAATGGTAAAATCTGTTTGTAACTGAAAAACGGGAATCTCACACGGGCGTTCATGATCGCACACGAGTAAAACATGAATGTTCGCGAGGAGAGTCAGCAGGAGAATTTGGCAGCAGTGCAGGTTGAAGACAGTTATTCTACAGCGGCAAATCAAGCCAAATTCTAAAGCAGTTTTACAACCGTTTTTCAATGACAGCAAAGCGAAGACCTGGACGACAGTTAGACAACTGTTTTGTGTGTTTTCCTTTGTGTACCTAGGACCTCTCTTATATGTGTGCTTGTATTTGCTTTCACCAACAATGCTTTCATGATTTCAAGCATACATTCTACTACTGCGTATTGACGAGAGTAGAAGTGCAACGTAGTGCTGCCGAAACTCTGCTCAACCAAGACACTCACTCTACAAGCTAAGCTTGGCATAACTACTCACTTGGTTCACAAGTGATGTTAAGTGTTGCCTAATTTATGTTTGTGGTTCTGAGTTGATTCGCTTCCGCATAGTACTTGGACTCAACACTGGTTACGCTCGATGCTTAATGCATTCAGCCAGAGTATGCCTCTTGCTTTCCAGTATGCCATGTGAAAACCTTTTTGTTGATGCCTGTTTATTGTTGTGTACAAAAACAAAATACCAACCACCTGCAAGAGATAAAATTGTCAATTTAAGAAGTTTTTCTGTTCCTACCTTTTTCCTAGCAGGTCCAACAGATGGGTGACAAGAACCATCCCAACATCGTGCGACTGCTTGGGTTTGCTATTGGGGGCGACATGAGGTCACGGCCAGAGCAGATATTGGTCTACAAGTTTGTTCCCAACGGTGACCTTGACCAGTTTATTAAGAAGGGTACGCAGCACTTTCGTCACTGATATCGTCTGAATCATGTACTGTCTCATGTTCTGTCACTCGCACGCTCTATCGTTCGCTTGTCTCTACGCATGTGTGCAGAGGTGTCCTCCTCTCTCACCTTCCAGCAGCGGCTGGACATCCTCATTGGTGCGGCACGTGGCTTTGAGTACCTCCACAGCTTTGGCCTTGTGCATCGCGACATCAAACCCGCCAACATCCTCCTTGGTGCAAACATGCAGGCAAGCAAGAAATCTGCAAACACACTAAGAGTACGCACATAAGAAGGTGTGTTGAGTCCAGTGGGAAATGAATCTTTGGTCGATAACACAGATATAGTTGGAACAAAGAATCTATAGGAATCTGGTATTCCGTGAAGACGAATGTGGAGGAGCAAGAGCCAAGGGGAGCTGCTGGTCTTTGCATAAAAAAAAAAAAAAAAAAAAAAAAAAAAAAAAAAAAAAAAAACTTGATATGCACACTGTGTCCTAGAAGGGCATGCTTGTTACACGTGTCAACACACCCAAATCCTCAAGCGTCTCTACTTGTATTGTAACCCTTTCCCCCCCACCAATCATAATAGTACTTTAAATAAACAAGTCATTGTCAAATTATTATTGGTACTAAGGGTGAGTGCATTACTTTCTTATAATTGGTACTAAGAGTAAGTGCGTTACAATTTTCCATCATGCGTGTCCCTTTTCCATCACGCTTGTCCATTGGACAGGCCAAGATTGCTGACTTCGGGTTGTTGAGGTTGGGCGAGGGCACCACGGTGGGCACGACTCGGGTGATGGGGACACCGGGCTATGTGGATCCCATCTACTCACGCACGTCCAAGGCCACCACTGCCACCGATGTCTATAGGTGAACAATTGCTGTGATCAGGTGAAATATTACTATGAGCAGGTGAATGGTTCCACTTACACCGATCTAGCAGCTATTAAGTGCCTCATTCGGATTCTAGGTCGGTTGCTATGTGACAGCTTGTCTCAAAGCTCTCTCTGTGAAGCAACCACCAGCATGACGTCTTGTGGGAACTGATGCAGAGCACTTCACTTCACTTCATTCGAGAATGTCTATCCCCTTTCTACCTTTGCATGCGAAGGATGGAAAGTGCAATGCATCACCCCAGGTGCTCATATCTTTCCGGTGGGCCTCATGGCCGCAACCACCACCCCAGCTGTTGTCAAACTTCCTTTCCCTCATAACTTGGCATCCATGTGTGCTTCTGTCATCCCCTTTACTTCTCCATGTGTGCAGCTTTGGTGTGCTCATGCTTGTGATGCTCACAGGTCGCAGCCCCCGTCCTTCTGATGGTGAAAAGAATGGCCACATTTTGCGATGGGTATGTACTGCAGTTTCGTGCTGCTTCTGTATCCCTTCCATGTGATTTTTCCTGTGGTTGTTCATACACTAGTTCCAGCACCGCTTTGCCAATGTATGGTGATACAAATGGCCGCACTCTGCGCTGGGTAGATTTCATGGTGGTAAGCGGATGGTGGGGGGCACAAAAAGTGACTTCCAAGTTGTCATCATAGTTAAAAAGTCAAAAGTGGATTACACCACCAGAAGTGAAGTGGAAGAAGCAGCGCATGCGACAATGGGTACATGTTTCTGCTTTGTGGAGAACATGCGATTGATGTTCCCTGTGGTGCACAGTTGTTTTAGACAGGCACAATGGCACGATGGCACAGCTGTGCTCGACTATCAAGAATAACCCTCTCCATCACTCACAACTGTTCAATCAGTCGGGCCGGCATTCCTCATTTACCCTCCTGTCATCTACAAATCGTTCAATTCAATCCAGGTGGAAGATGATGCTCAAATTAATTATATTCAATCGGCATTTCTCTCAAAAACCCTGCCAGCCTCAAGGACCTCAGCATGGGTGCCCAGATGATAATGCTCTTTCACTACCACTTTTTCCCACGCACCCTCTTCTCCTCGTTTTTACCTGTCATCTTCCTCTGTCTTCTCCTCACACCCACCTCAACCTGCTTCCTTCAGGTGGAGGAGTGCACTTCCTTTGACAATCCAGCACCCCTCAAGGACCAGAGCATGGACGCCCCAGCCTCACCTTTTTAATACCCAATAACTTCACCTCCTTATGAACCGTTCCCATCCCCCAATCGTCTCCTTATCCTCTTTATCCTGCCTTCTTCACCTCCTTCTATCAGGTGGAGGGGTGCATTTCCTCTGGCAATCCTGCCCCCGTCAAGGACCCGAGCATGGACGCCCCGGACGATGCTGTGCTGCGCCTGGCCCGGCTGGCTCTCGGCTGCACTGTGCAGCGTACTGCAAACCGGCCCAGCATGGCAGACATCACCAACGAGCTACAAGGAATCAGGGATGAGGTGGTGGGGACGGAGGAACTGAGTGCAGCAGTTAAGGTGGATGAGCAAGCTAAGGAGATGCAAAGTGGGACGTCGTACCCCAATAACTTGGCTGCAATGTTGCAAGATATTAAGACCATGGATGAAGAGATCAACATTGAGCAATGAGGTAATATTTGAAGCAGCAATAAATGCAGCACCCGAAGCTGCATTGAAAAATAATATCGTCATTGCCCAAATAGTTGACATTTATCTTCTATCAAGTACTGTTTCAGAAAACTTTTGTTAATCTTATAATCTGAAGTACTGTATTACCCCAGATATAAGTGCACCTGCCAGGGCCCAAAATTGGTTTTGGGTCACCCTTTCGTATCAGGGTGTCTGGCCTGTTGTACCCTGACCTCTAGTGTAAAAATTTATGTACACTGATGCCAACAGCCTAAAAAAAACCGTACACTGAATCGATCAGTGTAATTTTTCCAGTACACGGATTTCAATTGTGTTTCCTAAAACAAGAGGAAACATCACGTGAATGACCATAACATTAAACATCCAACACACACATCACTATCTACTCTGTGCTAGGTGTTGGTGCAACCCTACGGTTTGCACTCGGCTTATTGTCCGTGTGCGTAAATGTGTGTGTGTATGGAATGGTATGAGGGCATGGGATAATATATATTTCATGCTTATAATTCTGTGTGAATGTTGAGTCATGATGTCGAGTGTGTGTGTCGAGTCAGTAGCGAGTTATCGCTAGACGCGTGTTACGCGGTCGTTTGTGTCTCGCGCGCGGTTTCTATTTTGTCGTGCGCGGTTTCTATTTTGTCCTGTGTCGAACGTTCGGCGTGTCGCAGGTGTGTGCAGCAGACCCATCAAGAACTCAAGGATGAGTTTGTGATGAAGAGCCCGAGCCTTGGTGTCAAGCCTCAAGTGATTTCGAAGCTTGCCAAAAGGGTACACCTCAAGATATTGAAGATAGTTACATTACTTTGTGTAGTGTAACATTTCACTTGGTGTAGGCCCTAGTGAAGGGTAGTTTCGAGACCCTTCGTGGTTAGGGACAGTGTGGCACTGTTCCACATCACTGTACCTCGGCTCTTGGGGTTTGTAGGAGCTGGGAGTCATTCCCAACTCGTAACTCTTCCTATCTTGTGTTCTAAGACTATAGTGGCTGCCATAGTACCGTTCGTTCAAACCGACGCTGTGTCGTCAATTCTTTATCAAATCGTGCAATCTAAATTGCTAATTGTAGACGACGTGAAGACGCTCCAGATACAATTTGAATCAAGTCATTTGCAGCTGTGAGCAGAACGCTATCAACGTTTGAAGCCGCTGTGCAGAAATCCGTCTGTGCTCTCTATCTTTCGTTTTAGGCACATTCAAGCCTATTGTGACTATAACAAGTGGTATCAGAGCCCCTTGGAGCAGTTTCGACAATGTCTGGACCTGAGGAAAGGGGTGGCAGAGGTGCTGGTGGCAGTGGAGAAGCTCAAGCTCAAGGCCAACCCCGTGATTCAGCCATGGCGCCCATGCAACCAAGTCTTGGCCCACCTAGGGATGAGCCTAGGGTGTTTGGGCTTGACAAGTTCAACGGTGACAACTTTGCTGAATGGTCCTTCAAGATGGAGAACATCTTTGACCACTATGACCTGCTGGAGGTGATGGAAGGAACGGAGAAGCGCCCCGAGAACGACCCGGAGAAGAGCCCGTGGGTGCGGAAGAGCGCACAAGGCTATCTCTTACTTGGGCAAGCGTTGGGGAGCAGTCAGATCCGTCACATCAAGCCATTCCAGCGTGAACCAGAGAAAGGACCAAAGGCATGGGCTGCTCTCAAGGGTGTACATGCTCCTGCAACAGCGGCGGTAGCGGTGGTGTTGGAACGGCAAATGGCGGCACTACGAATTGAAGAAGACGAAGCGGTTGAAGAAGGGGTGCAGAAATTCTTCGACTTGTTGACGCGGCTTGAGGGAGCTGATTTGAACTACAGTGAGCTCCAAAAGAAGACCAAGTTGCTGGCCTTACTCCCAGAGTCATGGTCCTCGCTCATCATCAACGTTAATCGCGACTTGCCCCGCCTCTCGCTTGAAGACGTGAAGCGAGCTATCCTTCAAGAGGATTTCCGCCGCCGTGAGTTGGCGAGTGCGGATGGCGCTGGGGCAGCGAGCATCGGCCGTGGATATGGTCGAGGAAGAGGCAGAGGACGAGGGGGAGGAAGGTTTGGTGGCAGCAACTTCGGCGGAGGCCGCAGGAGTGGCGGTTACGGCAGCGACGACAAGAGCTACGGACGCGGTCGCGGCCGATTCGACGGCGAGTGTCACTATTGCCACAAGAGCGGACACATGTGGCGCGACTGCTACAAACTCCCTGATGGTTGGACCCCTGCTCAAGGCCAAGAGGGTAGAGGAGCAGGAGGAGGGAGAGGACGAGGCCGTGGAGGCCGTGGCGGTCGCGGTGGCGGAGCTGCAAACATGAAGAGCGGAGACAACGACAAGGACCCGAGCGACGATCGATACCCGGGTCTATTCTACTTCGTGTCGACGCAAGTACCGGCTGGTCCAGAGAAGGATGAAGGCTTTGAGGAGCCAGCAGCTGTGGGGAAGGTGACCCTACACCCCCTGGACTATTGGGTGATTGATAGTGGCGCTACCTATAGCATGACACCTCGCCCGGACTTGCTCACCGAACTCGAGCCGTCACCGGTGAAGCATGTCACATCGGCTTTGGGGCAGCGAGCAGAGGTGAAAGGCATGGGCAAGGCCATGTTCAAGGGTGCTGATGGGAAGATGGTGGGCCTCAAGAACGTGCTTTGGGTGCCCAGCCTTGCTGCAAACCTGATTTCCGTGCGGCGGTTGGCAAAGGCCGGCATGGACACGAACTCGAAGGGAGCCAAGACCTACACCGCAAGGCTTGGCGATCGAATTCTTTGGGACCTTCATGAGGACAGGGATGTCTACAACGAGATGTGGCAGATCCCAGTGGTCCCTATGCCTAAGGAGAGGCAAGTGGCAGCAAGCATCAGCACCAAGGATGGAGCGGTCGGTAGCGACGATGGCGCGAACGGTCGCGCTAAGGAGAATGAGCTCAAGAAGAGCAAACCTGGAGGGACCAGCAAGTTCAGTGAACCTAAGGAGAGTGGTGCAGCAACCAAGGAGCAGCAAAAGGGTGAGGAGAACCCAGAGGCAGCAGCGGAGGAGGACTACGGAGAGAGTATGTGGGGCGCTATTGCGAGCGCGGCATTCTCCAATCCAACTTCGGCTACCGGGGAGTGTGATTGGCTCACCTTGCATCGGCGCATGGGGCATGTGGCCCTGCCCATCTTGCAGCAGCTAGTGAAGAATGAGATGGTTGCTGGCATACGTGTGAAGGGGGAGCCCGATGAGGTGCTTGGCTGCCCGACGTGCATTCAAGCCAAGTTCACCCGGTTTCCGTTCCCTAGTTCGGAGGCAACGGCAAAGGCACCGCTTGATGAGGTGGTGATGGACGTGGTGGGCCCCCTGAAGCTTGGAGCTGCTGGAGCTGAGTATTTTCTCACCATTGTCGACGTCTACACCCGCATGACTTGGGTGTACGTGCTGGCCAAGAAGAGCGACGTGGCTGAAACGTTGAAGACGGATTGGTTCCCGATGGTGGAGCGGCAACAAGACCGTCTAGTCAAGTCAATCCGCACCGATCGAGGGGGAGAGTTCCTGAGCAAGGAGTTTGGGTTGTGGCTGAAGAAAAATGGTATTCGGCACTCCCTCACCATGCCATACTCCCCTGCAATGAACGGCATCGCCGAGCGAGCGAACCGCACAATCACGGAGGCGGCACGCGGGTTGCTCATTGAAGCCGGGCTACCCGACTATTTCTGGCCTGATGCGGTGCGGAGCGCGTGTGTGGCCAAGAACAGAGCCTTGACTCATGTGGGAGCAGACAAATGGGTGCCCTATGTGGAGTGGCTAGGAAGGAAGCCAAAGGTGGATATGCTTCGGGTGTTCGGGTGCATGTGCATGGCGCTCGTGCCTAAGCATCTTCGGCACAACAAGCTTGGTGCCAAGGCGGTGTGGGCCGTGCACTTGGGCATGGCTCAAAACAGCAAGGGATGGCTTCTTTGGGACCCATTCACCAAGAAGTTCTTGGTGAGCAGGGACTGCAAGTTCATGGAGAACTTCATGTACAAGGATTGGAAGGCGGAGAATGAGGCGAAGATAGGCGTGCGGTTTGGGGAGGTGAAGAGTTCCGGTTTGGAGCATGTGGAGCTGCCTTTGGAGCTGAGCAGCGGCAGCACAACCACAACGCAATCCTCCCTTGTGAATGGGGGAGAGGAGGCCAATGATGCAGAGGAAGAAGAGGAGGAGGTGCAGCAAGTGAGCGAGCGTGCACCGTCACTCCCTTCCCGTACTACGAGTGCTCCACGGATTCGAGCCACACCGCAGCAACGCCAAGGCCTTCAAGTCCCTGCAGCTGAGGAGGAAGGAAGGGGGAAGAGGAGAGTTCAACCCCCTAATAGGCTGACCTATGATGCGCCGGGAAAGCAGGGCAAGACAGCCCTGGCCGGAGCGGCAATGATGGTCGGAGACGACGAGGAGAGTGACTACGAGGAGTGTGCCTTCGCGTTCTTCTCTCCGGTGGAGATGCCGGGAGAACCAGCAACTCTCAAGGAGGCTTTGGAGAGTAGTGATGCTGAGGAGTGGAAGAAGGCCATGGAGAGTGAGCTGAAGAGCATCGAGGAGAATGACACGTTGAATTGGTGGAGCTACCGGAGGGGCGTACGGCGATAACGTCCAAGTGGCTCTTCAAAATCAAGTCGGATGCCGACGGCAAGATCGAGCGCTACAAGTCTAGGCTTGTAGCCAAGGGGTACCAGCAGAAGGAGAAGGTGGACTTCAAGGAGCTGTTTGCCCCTGTGGTGAAGCCGACGACGCTGCGAACCCTATTCGCGGGAGCCGCCATCAAAGGATGGGTAGTAAAGCAAATGGACATCGTAACGGCATTCCTTAACGGCATCCTTGAGGAGGAGATTTTTATGGCGCAGCCAGAGGGGTTTGATGATGGTAGTGGCAGAGTGTGGAAGCTGAAGAAGGCCCTCTATGGGCTGAAGCAGGCCCCTAGGCAATGGTACATGAAGCTGCGCGAAGTGTTGGAGGGGATCGGCTTCACTCCCTCAACGGCCGATCACTCCTTGTTCATGCTTGGCGAGGGGGAGCAGAGGAGTTTCATGGTGGTTTATGTGGATGACATCCTCATTTTCTCACCCTCTTCTGACCTTGTGAAGGAGGTGATGCTGAAGCTTCAAGACAAGTTCAAGTGCAAGGCCCTTGGTGACGTGAGCTTCTACCTTGGGCTCCACATCGAACGAGATGTGGAGAAGCGGTGCATGCGGGTGCATCAACGAAAGTACCTGGAGGCATTGGCTGCCAACTTTGGGCAGAGTGAAGGCCATGTGGCTACACCCTTTCCCTCTGGGTTCAAGTGTGTGAAGGGGCCAGAGGAGGAGAGCGTTGGTGAAGAGGAGAGGCGCCGATTTCACTCGTTGGTGGGCAGCCTCATGTATGCGGCGGTAAACACCCGACCGGACGTCGCGTTTGCTACCGGGCAGCTGGCTAGGGTTGTGCAATGCCCTAATGAGGAGCAGGTAGCAGCTGGAATGAGGGTGGCCAAGTATCTTGGCCAAACACCGACCGTTGGGCTGCAATACTCGGCGGCGGCACAAAGGCGCCAAAAGGGCACGGATGGTGTTGAACCCGGGCGTTTGTTCCTCACCGCCTACTCGGATGCTTCATATGCATCAGAACCAGAGGACATGACAAGTGTGGGAGGCTTCATATGCTGTGTTGGTGGAGGCCCAACTGCTTGGGAGAGCAAGAAGCAGGTTGACCAAGCTTTGAGCTCGGTGGAGTCCGAGTACATGGCACTCTTCCGTGCCGTACGGGAGATTGTGTGGCAGCGGCGTTTGTTGGCTGAATTGGGGGAGGAGCAGCAAGGACCTACCCCACTGTACTGTGACAGCCAGGGTGCCATTGCTCTTGCTAAGAACCCTGTGTTGCATGGACTCACGAAGCACATGAGGGTGAAGTGGCATTGGACGAGGAGCATGGTAACCGCGGGTGAAGTTGAGTTGCGCTACGTGAAGACCACGGGGCAGCCGGCTGACATGATGACCAAGAGGCTGGTGGAGCAGCAGCATTGGAAGTGTTGCAAGCTGGCTGGGATGGCTCTGAACTGAGAGAGCAACATATCCTAAGGCCAACAATCCGAGGGGGAGTTTGTTGGTGCAACCCTACGGTTTGCACTCGGCTTGTTGTCCGTGTGCGTGAATGTGTGTGTGTATGGAATGGTATGAGGGCATGGGATAATATATATTTCATGCTTATAATTGTGTGTGAATGTTGAGTCATGATGTCGAGTGTGTGTGTCGAGTCAATAGCGAGTTATCGCTAGACGCGTGTTACGCGGTCGTTTGTGTCTCGCGCGCGGTTTCTATTTTGTCGTGCGCGGTTTCTATTTTGTCCTGTGTTGAACGTTCGGCGTGTCGCAGGTGTGTGCAGCAGACCCATCAAGAACTCAAGGATGAGTTTGTGATGAAGAGCCCGAGCCTTGGTGTCAAGCCTCAAGTGATTTCGAAGCTTGCCAAAAGGGTACACCTCAAGATATTGAAGATAGTTACATTACTTTGTGTAGTGTAACATTTCACTTGGTGTAGGCCCTAGTGAAGGGTAGTTTCGAGACCCTTCGTGGTTGGGGACAGTGTGGCACTGTTCCACATCACTGTACCTCGGCTCTTGGGGTTTGTAGGAGCTGGGAGTCATTCCCAACTCGTAACTCTTCCTATCTTGTGTTCTAAGACTATAGTGGCTGCCATAGTACCGTTCGTTCAAACCGACGCTGTGTCGTCAATTCTTTATCAAATCGTGCAATCTAAATTGCTAATTGTAGACGACGTGAAGACGCTCCAGATCCAATTTCAATCAAGTCATTTGCAGCTGTGAGCAGAACTCTATCAACGTTTGAAGCCGCTGTGCAGAAATCCGTCTGTGCTCTCTATCTTTCGTTTTAGGCACATTCAAGCCTATTGTGACTATAACACTAGGCACACTTCCATCATCTACAAACTGGGTGTCGCTAGGGTTGCTCATGTCTAAGTCCTTGGTGGACCGCCGAAGCTTCTCCCCTCGGAATATGGCGACCACCTCGTACCAATCCGTGTCGTACTAGAGCAAGGAACAGCGCATCAGGTGCTCCAGGCTGTTGTCGCCGATGCTGCCACGGCCCCATGTCTTGATGAGGTTCTGTTTGCTAAAACCTCTCTCACACTCCACCGTGCTCAACGGCGGCACGGCTACCGACTGCCAGATGCGCATGATGTTGGGGAAGGAGTTCTGCCAGGCATCGTCTCGCAACATGTTCCCCAGCGCCTGGTGGATGTCCTCGTTGTTGTGCTGGGAGAACATTGTGGATGTGAACATCCACAGTTCTTGGGCCGCCCGATGATAGTTGAAGCCTGTTATGATGGGGGAAAGTGGGATAGTTGGGCTAAGCACGCAGACTCGGGAGGGAAGGGGGGGCATTTGTCCAACAATATAACTCCGGCTGCCCAATCTCTGTTGAGTGCAGGAGGCACAGAAAGAAAGACACTAGGCACACGAAGCTGCACGTTGAAACCCAGTACACGTACAAACTCACCAGGCAGTTTGTTGCCGTACAGCTTGTGAAGCTGGCCCAGCCACTTCCTGAATGCCTCCACTCGCTTAGCATCATCAGGAAGGTACGATGCTGTGCGAAACAGCTTCGAACCTTCGAGCAGGTGCAGGTCGCGCATGCGCCACTCGAGCTCTTGTACAAACTTCACCGACAACTCGACGCACGCTGTCACGTCTCCATCCGTCTCGTGGTCAGGGAGGGGCCGCTCGTGCATGGTGTAGACAAAGGAGACGGGCGTGCCGTCAGCGTCAACTCCTTCCGCCTTCATCTCCCTCTTCTCCAGTGACTGGTGGTTCTTGATAAACTCCGGCAGTTGCATTTTCTCCCCGGCTCCGAAATGGCCTGCAGCGTCCCTCAATGAGTAGCGGGTTTTCAGGCGAAGCCTGGTTTGCTGCACGATGTGCGCCACAAGGGTGACGTCGATCTGCAAGGGGCAAGACCACCAGTTAGTATGGTAAGATAAAACAAAGAGATTGCACACAGCAAGTTAAAGGAGTTAACGCGGCTGCCTTACCTGGCGTTGTTGAAACCGCTGGTTGAGGTGGTTGAGTTCCCACAAGACGTCTGCTAGGAACCGAATCAGCCACTGGAATCTAAACGAGGTGACTACCTCGTACAGCTCCGCCTTGTACTCCTTCAGCACCACGACTGCTGCAGGGAGTACTTCGAGCAGCCGGTTCACCGCCTCACCCCGCGACAGCCAGCGGACGTCGTGAATGCCCTGCGCCTCCAAGTTCGTCTGGCAGAAAATGTGCTGGAGGTTGTGAAACTTCTGGTAATGCACGCTGCTGCGTCCGATGTGCTCGGCGAAGGCACGCACCACGTCGTCAACCATGCGTAACTCCGGGACTGCATCCGCGGCATCACGGGCAGCGAGCGCCTCCCTGCACGGAAGAACAGAGCGGGGGATTGAAGTTAGTACACAATCCTGGCAGAAAGGCAAAGATTCTAAAATGCCCGAACAAGGCTGACCTATGCGCGATACAGTGGACTGAGGCGAGGTGAGGAATCATCGTTCGCAGCCTTGCCACGGCGCCGTTGTTCTTCCCCGTCATCACGCTTGCGCCGTCGGTTGCAATGCCTGATATCTTCTGGAGGTCCACACCAATGGAAGTCAGATACTGCACAACTGCAGAGGTCAGGGAAGCAGCGTCACAGCGGTCAACTGTGATCAACGTCAAAAACTCGTTAACTACCGTGGTGTGTTTGAAGAACGCTGCGTAAATGATCAAATGTTTCCCATGTACGCGGTCTGTGCTTTCGTCGAGCGAAATCCCCATCCACGGGGATTCCAGGAGGTGAAGCCGCTGGGACTCTTGGAGATATGTCGCGTGTGCTCTCAAGCATTCCTTGAACCCGTAACTGCCAAGCACACAAGCAGAACGCATTAGTATGTAACATAAACAGCAGAACCAGAAACCATAGCCAAACAAAACGAGTCAAACTCACTCGGTATAGTATGCGCCGTAGCCGCCAGCCGGTGGGAGGTCAGGTAAGCCCTCCTTAGCGAGAAACCAGCAGAGCGGCACGAACATCGCGATGGGAGCGTCTGACTTGCAGACGAAGAGGGCGATGTGGAGGCACCGTATGATGTGCTTCGTCGATGCATCGGTTGTCTGCCACATTGTTAGAGTAGCTTGTTTCGCTTTGGCCGCCTCTGCCAACGCTTCGTTCTTCAGTGCCTGCTTGTGGGCTCGGGATGCGGAGTGAGAGCGGATGCTCCCCACCTGCAATTCACGACCTCCCTCTCCTCTAATCCCGAAGGCCGTGTGTGCGCCTGGATCTCCGTGTTTAATGCAAACCGCACATTTCAAAGAGGGCCTACCGTTAGCCATACGGATGAGGCGCAGCCATGAAAATTGACCAGCCCACTGGGTGTCGAATGTGCTTTTAGCAACATCGAACTCAGCTACGGCACTTGCGGTAGGAGGGTTCAACTCGGCATGAGCAGCAGGACGGGGCGGTGATGTCGCTTTGCGTGGAGCTGGGGCGCCCCAAAGCGTTTGCTGCGTGAACGTTGCACCCACGCGCGGACGTTTCAATGGCGTGGTGCTAGCTGTTGACGGGCTCCCCGCAGTTGCCTTCGACGAGCCTTCGCCACCGCCAGGAACAAGGACCAGCGACGGGTGTGGCTCGAACGCGGAGGGTGAATTGGGTGGCTCGAACGGGTAGACCGTTCCTACCTCACACTCCGGCGAGCCGTCACGCTGTGGCGGCATGATGGGGATGGTGTAGTTGTAGCTAAGGCGGGGTAACACCCCAAGCACGGATAACCCGTTTCTGGTGCTACCAGGGGGATCCGCGTCTGCAGCAGGCATGATTGAGCAACGACAGTGTGCTGTAAGAGAACGATGAACAAGGAGGACTCCCTTTGGGATAGGTCGAACCCCAAACAGGCCCCAATGGATTGATGCCCGCGCAGCGTGGGCAATGCATGGCTGCGAGTGCAGTACCACGATGACTGCCAGCCGTTGCGTGCGACAGCACGAAGCTGTGCTGGAGCGCTAGGTGACAGAATTGGCAGTGGGACTGGTGTGGTCAGGCATCAATCTCCTTTTCCCTCGCAAAAAAATCTGCTAACCTGACGAATAGGACGCAATGGCCGCCCGCCGACCAGTTGCACATGTGGACCAGCTCGACAAGTGAAATTTGTGGGCCAGTGGGCCGTTTTGTCTGCTCGTGACCTGTGTCCGAATCCTCGGTAAGGAAGATTCGGTAACAGGGTAATGAAAATCGCACCCTGTTCAGGAAGGGAAATACAACTTTGAGTCAGGGTATAAAATTTCATAGCCTTTTTGGTCTAGGGTAAAAAATCTCGTACACGGATTCTGAAAGGGTAACTGAAAAAAAACTGCCGCTCATTAGGGCAAACAGGGTATAATACCCTGATAATTTGGGCCCTGGCACCTGCGCTTATAATAAAACAGTGTTTCTTAGGGGGGTGCGCTTATATATGAGTAAAAAATATATATGCATACGCTTATAAAATGACAAATAAAGATATATATTTTAAAAATACCAGATTGTATATCTCATCTCTGCAATTTCAATTGAATCGAAATTGTAAAGTGTCACAGATCAGAATCGCGCGCGGGCGATTCACTACCAGCGCACAGAGGCAAAGTACAGTGTAACACCTCACTTTGAGGGCATGCTAGCTCGTGCTCACTGGACGCGCAGGATGTGAGGACCTCAAAAGTCCACCTAAGCGAAAATGGTTGTGGCGTCGCTGCAAAATAGAAATTTGTTACCTTCTTTATCAAGGATTCAAATTGAAAAGTACACATGCACTTATAGTATAGCGGGGAGCGTTTTATAAGGGGTGCACTTATAAATGAGCATCGGCCATAAGCGCATTGCTCCATATATAAGCGCATGCGCTTTTAATAGGCATGTGCTTATATCCGGCGTGATACGGTAAGAGTTGGACTCCCTACTGTGCACCTCACTATAGCCTAGCATACATATATGTAGTTTGACACTTGCTTCAAGAGAAGGCAGAAGGGGAAATTAAGGAAGCTGCAACAGAGGCTTCATAAAACAAGGAAATGAGGGAAGCAGAGACGAGAACAAGCCTCTCAATACACCTGTCCCTCGCTTATTTCAACACCTGGGGCCCCGAGTCGCGTCCTTGTCGTTTTGCCCTGGGGTTGAAATTGGTGGGAACGAGAAAGCTCTGTCCAATTTCAACACTCTGACGTAAGTTTCATTGGTTCCTGATGCTTCTAAAGCGATTTCAAGCGGTTAAAACAGTTCTGTTTGTTGGAGTGGCTCTGCTTGGCCCGAACCGCGCTCGCCGCATGACAACAAGGGACGACAAAGGGGTTGAATTTTCCAGGGATTGAAGTAGGCGAGGGTCAGGTGTATTAAGGTAAAATACCCTTTTTGCACTGACTGTCGGCCGCTTTTTTTCAGTTACCCTTTCCCAGCAAGGGTAGTGGGATTTTTTTTCCCTTGATGTACAGGGTACAGTTTCAGTTACACTAATACTAAATTCTCGGAAGCGAGGATTTCCGAATTCGAACAAGTATCGAAACGGACAGGAGGACCAACACACACACACAATACGATAGCAACCACAGGTGAAGTTGTTGGGTGCAAAGCATTCTTGCCCGTCATCTCTCTCCGCAAACCGCAGGGGGAAACACCTCATCACTCTCCGCGGGGGCAAATATTTGTTGCCACCCAACACCTCTTGCGGTTTGCAAGTTCTTAACCCAAATTCCTTGCAAACCGCAGTGGAGTTTGTGTACCAAAACTCACTCTACAGCAACCCAACCAGAAAAGCAAAGAGCCCGCCAATGACCTCGTATTAGCCTTCGGAAGCGGTACTCGGTAAGAGTTTAGAACATCTTGCTATCCGTCAAAAAAGACGGATACATTGCCACGACTTCAAATGTCGAAGTTTGTCGCTGCCGAAAGCTCGCCATTCAAGTTATAGTTCGTCGGCGTGTTGACGCCATTTATCGTCTTACTGTATAATTGCCGCATTTCCGTGTCGCCTTCCGCTCGGCGACGGTTGCCACAGGATTGGCGTTGCTTGTCGCTTTCTGGTTGCTCGCAGATCCAGCTCCCCACTAAAACTCAGCGAATTCGCTCCCGCTTTCCACACCCCGCTTTCAGCGTTGCCATTCCGTCACAAAAAAACGGGCTGTCAATAGTTACCGAAAAGATTCCGTGCAGTCTCCCGAGAGTCTGTTGAACAAGGCATACCCAATTGACAGTAAAAAACATACCCAATTGACACTTCAAAGCGGGCAAGGTTGAGCGGACAAATCGTAACCGCACATCTTAGTCAGAGCAGAAGCTACCTTCCCGTAACTTTGACTGTGAACTCCCTGCGCCTCGCGTACGTATAATCCTTGTGTGCTTGATACACCAGAAGCTACCCTCTTGTAACTTTGAATGTTTTGTCCCACTCTCGCCTACGTGTAACGCGCGTGTTTGCAGGGTCAGTTCACGAGCTCGCAATTCAATTGGTGGATTTTGCCTGTGTCAACAAGGAACACGATTCGTATTGGTGGCTGAAAGGATATTCTGGGCCCTGATCGGTAGCCCTAACTCCGAGTTAACTTCTGTCGCGTTGGCATACTCGGAGTTAGTACACCGACTCACACGAGCGTGCACGTGTCGGTGGGAGCTTCTCTCTCCTGCTGTAAATTTCCCAACTCCGAGGGTGATCGACTCGCCCTCGTAACTCCGCGTTGGGAAGTTGCGAGGGTGGGGGCCGCGATATCACCCAAAACACTGTTGCATGCAGCCCAGACTGCCCCACAGTCCATCAAGCAGGCAAATTTCCACAAAGGGTATACCGGGTCACAAATTGAACCGTCGATGAGAGGCTGTAAATTTTCAACTCTTATATACGAGGGGGGCCCGTCCAACAAAAAAACCCAATCCGGAGATTGAATGGGTTCGCCCTTCAAAACCTTACTCCGAGTAGTGCGAGAAGTTCTCCCCCAAATGCTGGAGTTAGGGGAAGCCTTACTCGGAGTTAGGTTTGCCCCTGTAGGAATCATCCCGCAGGGTTCCGACGGGTCGTACTCCGAGTACGCGTTACTCCGATCGTTTGCCCGTTTTGGCTTACTCGGAGTAAGCCACGTCGGTGTGATTATATCCGACGCACGTGCGAAGGGGGAGTTAGTGAACCCCCTCGAAGCCCCCCAACTCGGAGTAAGGGGGCTACCGATCAGGGCCCTGATTGGGTAGCAACATCGTGCTTACGAAACTGAAATGATGTTACTGGTTACCCCCTTGGTAATTTGCTCTCACGATGCTTCTTTCATACGAAATATAAAGAAATCACGATTCCAGGGTTACCACGCAATAGGTTACAATCGCAATCTAAAAGGGCCACTACTGTCCGCAAAATTGAATACATATACAAATAATCTGTTAGGCGAGATAAATGACACACTACAAAAACGAACACAAACCACATATTAGTTCGAATTTTCATTTCATAATAATGCATCACACTTGCTACACAGTATGCTCTAACTTCAAAGCTCTTACTTGACAGAGGCACACACGTATAACATGCATTATCTAGACATACAGCCTATCAGATGCATAATAACTACTCAAGCTCATGGGGTCTTGATAAGGTGCTGCACCACAGGAACAACAACAGTGAGTGAAATAACGAACAATAGCAGACTTACAAGCAGTCCGTAGCACTAGTTAGCGTCGTCACAGCCGCTGAACAGATCATAGACAACCTACAAAGCAACATTCTAAGGAACAAACAACATAAGTATTGCTGCTAAGTGACTGAACGACTTCCAGTTCTTACCAGAGCCACAACCGAAGGAGTCAACTGGGACTCGCACCTTTCTGCCTGGCATGATGTCCATCTCAGATGCAAGGCGTTCTGTGATGTTCGCAAACCTCTAAACGCACAGAAAAGAAGACACAAATAGAAGGTAAGGTGAAACGTTTAAATAGGTATGACTTTGAACTAACATCGTCTAGCCGGCGCGAACAAACACCTGACCATATCAGCCGAAATTGATGAACAAGAGAAAAACTACTAGGGAAAATATTTGAAAAACAAAATACGAGAAAGGCTTACAGTTTGAGAGCGCAGTCGTACCTCGATGAAACAAAAGCATCGCGGTACGTG